TGGATGTACATAAGAATGTAAAACAACATTGGCCTCTCTTTGTCGGAGGAGAGGAGATCTGTTTTTCCAAGAGACATACACTCTGAGTGCCCATCAGAAGATGCCTTTGATTTATCACCGGCTTGGAACCCTGCTGTAGCATGCTGTTACCCTCTCTGCAGCATTCACATGAACACCTGCCACTTTGCAAAGCATCGTGCAATGTGATGCTTTCTCCTGTGCCTTTCACATGCTTCTCGATGACACTCATGGTAGGGACAAGAAAAATGTGAAGAACCCTCGCTTGCTTTGAGTCACGCACTTTGTTGCTTAAAAAAGGCTCAGCCTCCTGAGGGCCCTAGTACCAGTTCCAATTCCTCCTTTCCTGAGTCTGTTAACATAAATCCCACAGCCCCAAACTTCTCAGCTTTCGTAAATGGCAGGCCTGATTCACGCATGATTTATCAATTAGAGCTGTGGGCCATTAGGATAGATTTCTCAGCTTCAGGTGGACTTCAGTGGGTTGTATAGTGTTGGTTTAGAGTTTCTTAAGAAGCTCAGTAGTTGACAACCCAAACAATGCAACTTCCGTTTGCCCCTGTGGAAGGCTTTTTGGTTTTAGGTGAGATTTTTTTTTTTTCTTAGAATTTCTTCTCCTTTTGAGCTTTGCCTTGTGGGGTGGGGAGTTTACTTCTAAGCAAGAGTAGTCAGGAGTTCTCAAAGCCACTCTTTCTCTGGAAAGAGTATTCCAAGCTGCTGCAGACGCATGGGTAGCAGTTCCTTGTGACAGTCAAGCAGAAGAAACAACTTGGAACCACAGCTGCTGCCCCTCTGAATACTAGGAAGACCACAACACTCTGCAAGTCTTCGATTTCAGAGCTGCCCTTCCTTCACTCTTACCAGCAAAGAAGCCTGTATCTGCAAGCATGCTGCACTTGAAGGAGGAGGAGAATTTATGACTCTGTCACCTCTGGACAACTTCCCTGTTGAACCTCTCCCAGGACAGGCTAGAATCTGATGGCTGGTGCCCAAAAACAAAAGCTAATTAACATCTCTGTGTACGCTGTGAGAAGCTCCAGTGGTTCACAGATGAGGATAAGGGCAATAGCAGGGCTGCACAGAGAATGACACGCTTCAGCACACGAAGGTTTGGCTTTACGAGACGGAGATATGTTCTTAGGATTTGTTAGGTTGGGCTTCAGAAGCCTCCCTGGAAATAGTGAGAAGAAATGACTTCCTTTTCTAAGATTTTAATAAACTCTGAGGATACAAGGTGTGGTCACCCATTTCAGTACCATTCTCTCTATGTGGTCTGTGGTCACATGCACATGACTCAAGTGTGTGTCGGAGCGGTCTCCTTTCACTGGACGGGAAGACCATGCATCGCTGTCAGGTCCTGTGTCCCGCCACATTGTAATGGCCTTGGCCTTCTCCTCCCCAGGCCGGGTCAATTCTGCTTTAAAAGAAGGAAGCATTTTTGAGTTAAACATATGTTTAGTTGTGTTGGACTTTTAGCCTTTTTCTTCTTCAAATTAAAAGAGATAATTTTAAATAATTAGAAAGTTCTGGAGTCTGGAAAGAAAGGAAGCAAGGCCATTCTGCCTGACCATAAGTGATTACTGGACCCTTAGGAAATCCTGTTTCTGAATGTGTTTGTGATGACGTTGTTTGGGCCGTCACAGACAGAGAAATCTGTCCCACTTCCTTCCTCTCCATCCTATCTGTATTCCCAAGTTGCTGTAAACCAGGTTGGCCGCTACCTATGGTTAAGCTAGCAGGGAGAGCCATTCAGAGGGAAGCATTCCCGACAGGCGTGTTGCCCCTGGCCTGGGGTACTGAGAGCAGTAGACCCCAGAAGCAGCCAATTTGATAGTGTCTTTTAATTCACAGTATTGTATTAACTTCAACATGGATCCAGATGGATGCTCGGCAATAAACTGTAACCACTGGAGAAAGCCTCTATTGACTCTCAAGTAAATAATGCACATTTTAAAGGATCTAAATATGCATTTACATAATGCACCATAATTTTTTATTGTGTCAACTAGTCACACACACATCCATAAGAGATGTTTCTCTTCATCAAAAATTTGGACACCTAGCCACCTGTGCTCTCCATCAACACCATGGCAGCTTCATCGTGGCAGTTTCCTTTCTATGCAGCTTGCTTCAGCCAAATCAAAGAACATTTAATGACTTAATTGATTGATTTAGCTCCAGTGACTCCTTCTAAAATGATTTGAAACAACTTAGATACAAACTTAGGTATACTTACAACATCAACCCCAAGATAAAAGGGAAGGAAAAAATAGAGAGGAGAAAAGTAGAAAAGACGTTGATTAAATCTTAGCTCTGGACTTCTCGGGGCCTCAGTGTCCAGAAGAAGATGAAGATTACCCAGAGAAACACCAGGGATCCAGTAATAATCAGCAGATCTTTGTGGCATCTCTAGCAGGTTTCTGTCTGAGGAAACTAAAGGTCATGGCCTCGAGCCAGCTTGCTCCCATCTCCACTGAACTGATGACTCTGTCCCCAGCAAGAGAAAAGAGGTTTAGAGAGGACAACCCTGTAAGTGCAGACTCAGCAGAAGTATGATTTAGAACCTCGGGCCAGATGACTTCCTGGAATTAATTAAGAATTAATTGATCCTAATCAATCAGTCATTATAGAATTAATTCTATACAGTACCACAGGCTTGCACTGAATTCTGCACCCATAAGGAAAAGATGAATAAATTGCTATTGCTAAAATGTAATAAAGAAATTGAAGTCTGAATTTACGCTGCTGCTGATTTTCTTTTACATCTTTAATAAAATAAGCTCAATGATGTTTATTAACAATTCACAGGGAGAGTGCACAGTACTGGTGAATTATTTCTTTAACTTGTATCTACTTAGTCTTTACTCGAGGCAGTGTTGTACCTTGGGCAGCACACTCTTGTTGGCCACCACCATTCCTAATCTAAAAGCCACTCAGCACTTTCTGTGAGAACCTGAGGCCATGCCACTTTATCGTCAAGGTCAGTCTCACGGGGCCTTCGTGTTTGACTCGCTGCAACAGTTGAACCTATAATGTTTTTCAACTCAGTACATTCCTGTCCTCGTTTGAGAAATAAAACCTACAATGCTAACTAGAAATGATTCTGTCAAAAACAGGGATCTGGTCAATGTTTCTTATACCATTAGAGACAACTACATCATGCTAGAAGAAAAAAATAGAGTCCTTTCGTTCTTTAAATCCAGTAGCACAATTTCCAGGGGAAGAAGAGTCCAAGAGCATTTAACTCTTCAGCTTCTCAGTGTTCACTCGGAGATTATAATGGATTCCAAGATTTGTATTTCGTTGTAGGTAGTCTTAACTCACAACTGTTTTCCTCCATGTTTGCTGGCTCAGGGTCCAAAAATGTATTTTGTCCTTGGAAAATTATATGGTCATTTTTCTTATTTTTCATAATCACACTTTATTCAGACATTTAGTGTGCAGCCAGCAAATATTTATCAGTGCCATACTCAGTTCTGAGTGAGCGACTAAGTCGATAGCCAAGCTTTCTACCAAGGCAGGAGCAGACAGAAGAGTAAGTGGGAGAGGGGCAGTGTGGTAAATTCTGATATCAATAGATTATGTTGGTGATGTCCTCAGTGGTATGATTAAGGGCAAAAACAAAATTTCTGGTTTATCCCAACATTGTCTCTTGAAACCATGATGAGAATCTCTGAATCTTTATTGAATGAATTCAAGTGGCCTGAAACCGATGATTTTACTTGATTATCTGGAAGGAAGCCTGGGTTGGTGTTCTGCATTTGTACTGTAGGAACTATAAGGGTTGCTCTGACCCACAAAGCCCTACCCCTTAAGGTTATTATTTAAAAAAAAATACCCTAATCCTCAGGAGACCCCAGTATCAGTAGGCATGCATTCCTAACCACTCCAGTGGGATGGTGGGAAAAAGGAGGGGCTACTGAACTTTGGATTCTCTTCAATAGTATGAATTTTTCTTGGTATTCAGAAAGTCATATTGTCTAAAACTGTGGGCACTTCTGTGTTTCTCTTTGTAGGAAACCCTTCAGTTGAAAGATTCAAACTATAAAAGGAAGGGACCGGGGCAGGCATGTGTACCCCTTATCTGGAGTCTTTTCTCTTCTGATTGGACTTGTTCTAAGTGTTATCAGCCCCCTCACACAAAGCCCTTATCCTCTGGCAGGTCTTGGCCATCATCTCTCCAATTTAAGGACAAAAGCATTCCTGGAAAAATTATTAAGATCTCACATAAGCTTTTTTATCTAATGTAATCTTGTACAAACGATATTTATCAGGGTTCAAATATAAAGGAGTCGTTGTCTGAATCTCTTATCAGATTTATGGCAGAGAAGCAACCTTTCACGGAGTCCTGCCTGCTCAGCCTGTAGCTGCTTTAGCTTTGAAAGGGCAGCAGAGAAAAATGCAACATGAACCTTCCACCGTAAAGTGAGGCACCCAAATTGCATGGGTTCATTAAGTGATCATTTACTACAGACTTCAAAAAACTCCAGTCCTGAATTAGTCCCTAGAAATTTCCTTGAAAGGAGTATAAGAGCTTTAACAATGAATTATTATCTATGGGTAGCTCAGCATGAAAGGGGATCCATATGTGCAAACTAGAATTTGTCAAATGTAATGTCGGTTAAATCAGGTCTAATCTACCAAATACATTTTTTATTGCTTGCTTCATTAAAAAGGCTCTTAAGGTAATGAATAATCTTCATCTTCAACAAGGATTATTAATGCCTTTATAACTCACGTCCACTGAACATAGAGAGGCAACATGAAATTCTATCCTACGCTAACCTCCATGTTTGTCTTAGAGCCTTAGAGGAGAAAATCCATCAGAAGTGTCCAGCGCTACATCCTGTCACATGAGCAAGCTCTGTGAATTGGGCCCAGAGAAGAAATGAAAAAAATAATAGAAAGAGGCCGTTGATTCAGCTGTGCAAGCCGCGTTACCCATAACCCTGACGTGTCGTGTCTTGTCTTGTTTCCCGCAGCGAGTCCACATGCGACGCCGTCGACGCTCCACTTCCCAACGTCACCGATCATCCAGCAGCCTGGGCCTTATTTCTCACACCCAGCCATCCGCTACCACCCTCAGGAGACGCTGAAAGAGTTTGTCCAGCTTGTCTGCCCTGATGCGGGTCAGCAAGCTGGACAGGTGGGCTTCCTCAATGTAAGGAAACCTTTTTTTTCCCCCGTATTTCTCTAGAAATGCTAACCAAATGTAAAAATAATAAGAGACCGTGTGTGACCACGTGGTTTTGTTTCCTAACATCATGCTGACTGACTGCAGGCAAACGCCATATTTATTCTAGATTATGGGAAAGTTAACTCGCTACAAGAGGGATTGGCCGGGGTTTAAAATCGGTGTTTGTGTTAAGTTTGCAGCTGTCGAGCTTATGGATATAAATTGTCTGGAGAGGGAACCGTGTAACCTTTTGAGTTCCACCTCCAGCATTCTAGCCCCAGGGTCATGCAGTTAGCTAAATAGAAAGACCGAATAATTTTCAGTCATGTTTTGGGGTAGTCGAGAGAGGTAGGGAGCACAGGGAGGCAGATGTTTCAGATCAACCAAGTTGATTTTTTTTGAAAAAAAAAATACAGTCTTCTAACACTTTAGATCCAGTTGACCAGTACTTGAACTCAAGATGCTAGAAGCAAGGTTTATTATGGTTTGTTATTTCTACGGGTAGTTATCTTCTCCACTTATCTTCATATAAAACTGAGCCACGTTCAATAACTACAAATGAATGTTTTCATTTTTCTCAAATAAACCAAATAATCACAATTTGAAATAACATTCCAATAGTAAACGTTACTTTATAAAATCGCAAATTTTATTACAAATATAAAGCTATATGTTTACAATGAATAGCTGTATCCCAAGGCCACTGGCAATAATAATAATAAACTAAGACCAGCAGAAAGCCATATTTGATTTCCTTTTCTTATAATATCTATGCATGCATCCACAGATTAGCCATAATTCTTATTGCCTGGTTTAGGATGCTATGTCGCCCTGCTCTGTCGTTGGTTTTTCTCCCCTGCAGAAAGACCTGATTCTGCAGATTTGAGCCAGCATGGCAGCTTTGACTAATGTCTGGCGATCTGTTCACAGATACATTTCTGTCTAGACAACAAATCGATACGGTGCCTTTTTTTTCCATTTTGCTTGTGTATTCATTTGCTTCACTTATTCTAAAATATTCACGTGTGGACTTTGGGTCCACACAGAAACTATACACAGGCAAGGATGCTAGTAAGAGTGCACAGCCTTCTGCTCATCAGACAGCATCCAGGGAATCACAGGCAAGGATGCTACCTAGTGAGTGTGCACAGCCTTCTGCTTATCAGACAGCATCCGGGGAATCACAGACAAGGATGCTACCTAGTGAGTGTGCACAGCCTTCTGCTCATCAGACAGCATCCGGGGAAACACAGACAAGGATGCTACCTAGTGAGTGTGCACAGCCTTCTGCTCATCAGACAGCATCCGGGGAATCACAGACAAGGATGCTACCTAGTGAGTGTGCACAGCCTTCTGCTCATCAGACAGCATCCGGGAACACAGACAAGGATGCTACCTAGTGAGTGTGCACACTTTCTGCTCATCAGACAGCATCCGGGGAAACATACTGCAAATACCGCGAGTGCCGATGAAGGTCTGGGCCTAAGAATTACTAAGTTTATCCTTCAATGCCCAGGACAATAGGCTCTCCTTCAACTAAATTTTGGGTTGGACCTGCTGTCTACATACGGGCTATTGCTGGCTGTAACTCATTACGGAAAGCCACTTGGGAAATCATGAAAACCTGAGCTGGTCATTGGTACCAACTCTGACTTCTGAACATCCAATGTGGTCTCTTTAATGCCATGACATCATTTTCTGTAACTGCCAAATGCCCTGTTTTGTGTTTTGACCAGAATTTTACGGGGTTTGAGAATAGTCTCTCCGTAAGACTTTTTCAAAGACTTTGAAAATAAGTTACATGTTGTCTTCTGAGGGAAACTTGACTTGGCTAGGAGCTGTTCTGTGACTAACACCAGGCAGCCAGAAAAGGACAAGTTCCATGGCGTTTGCTGGTATAAGTCAAATCAGAGCTGGTATTTTTACCTAATAGAAATCTGATAGCCAAATATTACAGTTTTTGTACCTAATTCTATATAATATGTGAAAGAAAATATCTATGTTCCTTGAATACAATTTTTAACTGTCTTAGATCAACTTTAAGAAATGAAAATTAAAAATATCATTGTGTGTGTATATATATATATATATTATAGTGATCATAATTTTACCTATATAAATGCCCATGGAGGAATAACACCTCAGTCTAATAAGCATGTAGATATTAAACAAGCATTTTGTATTCATTTTGTAAATGTTTTGAAATTGTTGGGGGAAGCAGTAGCTGAAACAGCACCAAGCAAGAACTGGTTATTCAGGGACAGACAGGTCTAAAGTGCTCCTAGACATGACCCTCTGGGGAACAAAAGATCACTGTGCTTCCAACAGCCTGAATATTTGTGATGTGCCTGGCAGGCACCTAACGAGTCTTGCTTTGCAGAAGGAGCTAATAGCTGACATCCGTTTATTCTTTTCCTTGTGTGTGTTTTCTCTGAACCCCTTGCAGCCCAATGGGAGCAGTCAAGGCAAGGTACACAACCCATTCCTCCCCACCCCAATGTTGCCGCCGCCACCGCCACCACCAATGGCCAGGCCTGTGCCTCTGCCCATGCCAGACACCAAGCCTCCGACCACATCAACAGAAGGAGGTGCAGCCTCCCCCACCTCACCGAGTAAGTATGACCGAGACAAGGCGCCGGTTACTTACCATGCTTTGTGCACCTGAGTTCACACTTAAGCCTTGTCCCTTGCTGTGCGGGCTTCAGCAATAGGCACAGATCCCACCGCTTTATCTATAACCTGAGCTGGCAGAGCCCAGATCCAAGTCACAGTGAATACCACTCCCATCTTCTGTCAAACTACAACAGAGACGGAGATGATTGGGTGTAGGTGGTAGATTAAGATGCTGTAGCTACATACTGAGTACTGGGAACACGGTAAAACCTAGTAAAGTGTGTGTATTGCTAGAGTGGTTTGCATAGAATACTATTTCCATGATGTCCTAAAAGCATCTGCTTGTGCATATTCTTAATAGCAAAGGGGTTGGTTATCCCTAGAAACTTGATGAGAGATAAAAGTTCTATGCCTTATACATGAGATAGGAAATTGTCTAGATCAGCGTGTCCATGCAAAGGTGTGTGTATTGAATGCCACTAAGAGTAAGACGGGCCTGATAAAAAGTCAAAGCTGGAAGCCATGGTAGCCACATGAGGAGGCTTGGGAAGGGAAGGAAAAACAGAGTAGGACTGAATGCAGAGAGAGAACCTTTGACTCTTCTCTCAACAGTCTGGGAACACTTAGTCATAAACTATTCTGACATCTCTTTATATTGTGGGAATGATTGTTTGATGAATTCCACAGTGAGCAATTCTCCAGATATTTCTTGGAATTTTTGGAGATGGAAGGACTCTAAAAGGTGCGAACATACAAATATAGCCTCTGTTCGTGTCTGCAGTGATGGCAGAAAGAGTGATGGCTGTAGCTGCCAGGTGACCTGGTAGCCTGGCTTTGAAAGGTGGTGTGATGGGCCCTTCCTCAATCCTTTAGAGAGGATGAAAGTGTAGGGATGGGGGCAGTGGCAGTACCCCGGAGAGAGCCCAGGGGTGGTGGCAGGGTGCCTCTGTTGGAAGAGGAAAAGAGAAAAAGATGGAAGAGCAATCAGGAAGAGAAGTGGTAAGGTCAGGAACTTGGAGAACAGCTGAATAGAAGGAAATGGGTGGAGGGGTGTTTTGCAAACATAAACAAGCATTTAAATAAGAAGGCCTCTTGGCTTTCTTCCCTTTGATATTGTAATTAATGACAATGGATACAGGAGAGAAAGAGCCAAAAAGGAAAGACAGTCCTTCATTTAGACCATCATCACTGGAATTGGTTCTGGGAACATTGAATATAAAGTGACTTTGCATCCTTTGGACATGATCAGAGAGTGAACTTTGTATTGTCTAGTATTTCTTTGGGTAAATAGATGACATTGTGCATAAATTCTTCAGCAGAAGGACTGAAATCCAGGGACAGTTTGGGGAGATAGACCTATCTGGTGAGAGATGGGTCAGTCTTACGCTCATCAGCAAAGGAGAGAACCAGTATGTTAGCATGGGAAGGAAGCTGCTTAACGGTGAACCATTGGCACATCTCAGAAGTAAGCTGGGAAAGAGGTAGAAAACTAGTGTTACTGATGGATAAGAAGTTAAGAGGAAATTACACTTTTTAATAATCACGTACTTTCTTAGAAACTAAAATTGCAGCATGGTTCAATCTGTCTGTCCTTAGCAGTTTATCAGAGCTCGCCCGCAGTGGGAAGCAGCATCAGTCAAGGTGTTCCGTACAATGCTCAGCGTCCCGACAGTGCATCCAAAACTGAAGCTTGTTTCAAAGAACAGTGGCAGATACTTTTCTATTTAGGGGTTTGGGATTACTTACAGTAAAATAAGATTGTTTTTTTCAGTTAAAAAATAAAACAGGAAATCAAGCCAAAGGCCTCCTCTGTTACCAACTTTTGGGAGGCTTCAGCTCCCTCTCGATGGGAGTAGCATTCACTCCTCTGCCCACTCACAGCAGGTTATCCAGGAGGAAGTAGGATAATAAGCATGCGTTGTGGCTGACTAAAGGTCAAAGCAACATTTTTAATATCATCTAATAATGAAATACAAATGATGCCAGCCTAAAGCGGAGTATGTGTTGCCTCTGGAACTAATACTAAACTTTTCAGTATGAGAAAGAAAGAAAAAAAAGGCAGATCTGGAAAAAATTGCCTATAAAATAAATATATTTTAATGGGAAAAACCTGTCAACATCCCTTTAAAAACGAGGGAAGTGGGAGTGAGGATAAAGCTGTACTCTTTCCTAAAAAGAACTTTGATATTTTAATATGTGTACAGAGCCGCTGATGGACAAGGGGCAGTAGGGTAGCATGCAAGTGGGAAACAAGACCTCCCAGCCCTTTGACACTAGAGAAAGGCCCTGGTGGGGTGGGACCTGATGCCTGGTAGGTAAGGGATCAGCCACAACAGTCTGGTGTGCGTGAGGAAGTGGGGACAGTGAGAAAGTTGGGAGAGGTGATGAGGATGGAGGAGGACCTTGGATGCAGGATGCTTGTTGGCCAGCATCAGGACCTGGACATTTCCTGCAAGTGAGACTGTTAGCAGAGTAATGCTTCCTAAAGCCTGCACATTAGTAGAAAATTCTGGCAGGCTTTGTTGAAATAGGTTGCCGGGGAGGAGCAAAAGCAGGTCGTGATGGATGTAGTGGGTGTCGTTTACATGCCAGCCCCCATTCCAGACCAAGGGGCACCAAGGTAAATGAAACAGATAAGAACTTTCATCATGAACAAAACACACATGAATTAGGAAGCTAGGGACAAGCAGATGAAATTGAGAGTATAGTGGGCATGCTATGGCAATCACCCAGGTGAGAGTTGTCCATGCACTGACCTAGGAATGGGGTTCGTAGAAGCTGTGAGAAGCTCTTGAACTTCAGGCATATTCTAAAGAGAGTTAATAAGCTTTGCAGAGGCACCTGATGTGGATTGAGAAGAAGGAGAGAAATCAGACATGACCTGTAGGGCTTTTAGCCTGGGCTCCTGAAAGGATGAAGACAGGAAGCTGATAGGAAAAGCCATTCTGAGTGAGAGGTGGGCACTAGATGTTTGAGTCCATTAGACCTCCCAGTGCTCAAGCTAAGCAAAACTTCCTGCGGATAGCAACCCTGGACCGGTTGCAGAGTATTTCAGGATGCATCATCTTTTTTATTATTATTTGCTTGTTTTGTTTTGTTTTTGAGGCATGGCTTTTCTGTGTAACAGCCCTGGCTGTTCTGGAAGTTGAACTGTATACCAGACTGGCCTCAAACTCACAGAGATCCACCTGCCTCTGGGGTGCTGGGATTAAAGGCATGTTCACTACCACCTGGCCCATCATATTCTTAATAAATGACTTCTTTTCAAACATACAATATGGCATGAGGTTTTTGAGATTCTGTGTGTGGTGGCACATGTCTTTAATCCCAGCACTCTAGAGGCAGAGACAGGTGGATCCCTGTGAGTTCAAGGCCTCTCTGGTCTACATAGTGAGTTCTAGCCATCCAGAACTACATAATGAAATTTCCTCCACCCCCTGAGAGAGAGAGAGAGAGAGAGAGAGAGAGAGAGAGAGAGAGAGATTGATTGATTTCTATGAGTCCTCGTGCCATAGGTTGGCACTAGCTCATCCCACAAAAGTGGAATTTTCCACACTTTTTTCCTAAAGTAAAGATTGGCATCATAACATGAAATTAGAATGCAAAGGAGAAAGCACTTTTAAATTATGGTGGGAGATAAAATATGCATATTTTCCTTTGTTAATTAATTAAAAGTCAATTTAAGATGCATAAAAAAGCTCGTAATAAACATTTTTCTCCTCCATTCCTTCTTGGTTATGAACTTTTGATTTTTTAAACTAAAATTCTATTAAAGTAGAAGCATGTAATAGCAAGTAACATTTATTGTTTATTTTTATGTATCCAATGAATCTTATATCTGTTTCATTCTGTAAATGAATATGCACCTATAACCGAGAGCATAACAATTATCTTTCACAAGCACAGAAGTGTTTAAACCCAACAACACATGTTCGATGCCTTCTGGTGAACCAGAGCTCTTTGCCCACGTGTGTTATCTTCCTACCATTCCTTTGAGGTCAATATTTTATACACAAGACAATGAAATGGGAAAATTAAGGTTACCTTTTCCAGTACGATGTTCTGGTGGTAGAATGGTGGGACTCCCATGTTAGCTCTGCTACCGCAGACTGTATGTATGTATGTATGTATGTCTACATGTATCTTAGTCAGGGTTTCTATTGCTGTGATAGGACACCATGAACAAGAGCAATTTGGAGAAGAAGGGATTTATTTCAGCTTACAGTTCCACATCACAGTTTGTCATAGAAGGAAGTCAGGGCAGGAAATTAGAGGTAAGGGCTGAGGCAGAGGCCATGGCAGACTCCTCATGGCTTGACCAGCCTCCTTTCTTATGTAACTCTGAACCGTTTGCCCAAGGGTAGTACCATCCACAGAGTGCTAGGCGCTCTTACATTAATCATCAATCAAAGAAATGCCCAATAGCCTCGCCCATAGGCCAATCTGGTGGGGGTTTCTCTCATTGGAGGTTCCGTCTTCTCAGATGACCAGGCAGCTTTAGGGAGAGGCGCTTGAGAGGGATGCCACAGAAGAGCCTAGCTCTCAGCGGGGCGCAGGTACTTTAACAATCCTTTTACATGAAGGGCCCCATTTCACCCTCACATTAACCCATAGCGGAAAACTTCCTATTCAGCCGATTGAGAAGGAGAAGACAAAATGGAGAAATGAGGTAGCAAGTGTTATAGGAAAATGACTCCCTCCCAGCACCTTGAAACTGGACTCCCCTGTTTCACTGTGATGTGAGACTCTGTGAAGTAGCCTAAAACTTCCTTTTCTGTGGCAACGAAAACTCTCTGTGGAGAAACGTGAAAGACCTTAGTAGTCACTGGTACAGAACAAAAAATAAAAGATTTAGGGGAAGACATAATGATTATGGTCCATCTTTTAGAGAAATGGTAGATTATAGTTAAGAGAAAACCAACTTAGTGGATCCATTTCCCAAAGTACTTTTTTCACAACTGATGTCTAGACTATATTATCCTTTTCTAAATTTTAAAAT